TCTGGTAGCTACAACCTTTTGACGAAGATGGCAAGAAAGACAAAAGTGAAAAGAGAATAACCGAATATACTTTTGCTTTCTGATTATTAACAGTAACATCCTTGATGTTTACTTATGATAAAAAACATTATATTTATGTCATATTACAAGCAATATGTAAAAGCAAAAAGTATGGCTGATGTGTTGCCAGTTTGGCTTAATGTTTTGAGCCATTAATGTTTTTCTCACGTTAGGCTTATTTAAAATCAAAATTCCTTTTGGTTTATTTTTCAAATTTGGCTTATTACAGTTTTTTTGTCTTCTTTCAAGAATCAAAATCAAAATATTTCCTGATTTTACTGAAAATACTCAAAATAGCTATAATGCCAAAAACAGTACGTAACGGTTTACAAAACAACGTAAATGCAAAAATTGACATTAATAATTTATGACACCTCTATTGTCATAAGCATATAAGCACCATGTATGTAGACTGTTGACAGACTTCCTAGTCTTAAAATGACAACGTCTTTGAATTTGATGACATTGTGTCAACATGGATTTAATGTCGTGCAGCGCACTCGTTTATAAAGTAAAGATCAGTAAAGATTAAGCTTGAAAACTTTGTTCAATTTATGTGGTGGTAATCAATAAAGAAGTTTTTTGCATATCGTTTGAAAAAGTGATGTGCAATTGTTTTCATTCCAGCTAAAACGATGTGCAAATTGCACATTGCACACCTTTAATTCGCACACTGGTGATATCATTGATTTTAAATAAGCCTAACAAGAGAAAAAGAAGCCAAATTTGGCTCAAAACATTAAGCCAAACTGGCGACCTTGATCAGCCATACTTTTTGCTTTTACATAATGCTTGTAATATGACATAAATATGATGTTTTTTATCGTAAGTAAACATCAAGGATGTTACTGTTAATAATCAGAAAGCAAAAGTATATTCGGTTATACACTTTTCACTTTAGTCTTTCTTGCCATTTTCGTCGAAAGGTTGTAGCTACCAGAAAAGTTAATACAGTAAAAAAATAGATGGAAACATCAAATGCTGACTAGTTTGAGTGCTAGGATGGCCAAGTGGTGAATTTATTGCGCTGTAAAGTTTGCACAAAAAAGAGGAGAGAATAACATGCGCAAAAATTTCTTTCGTACATTTGTAACTGGATCAGCGGTTGTAAAGAAAAACACTGTCGTAAATCATATGAATTTGTTAATGTTTAAAAACAATAATTTAGCAAATAGTGCTATATATAGTAATGAACGTAATATCGATTTGATTATGCCTCTAAACAAAACTTTTGTCAAAAAAAATTGCACATCGTTTTTTCTCAACTAATTCGCACACTGGTTATCACAATGCAATATTAGCTTTAGGAAAAACTAATTTTTGTGGGCAGTTAACATAAATTATTGCCAATGTCACAGGGTCCTAATATTATTGATTTCAATGCATTGGGATGGTGTGATTGTAATTTTCAAATAAACGACTAATGATTGAATATGTCCATCTTAATACAGCATGGGGTACTTAGGGAAATGGTAACAGGATGATATGAGGATAGTAGAGGTACCAGGGGGATGTCATTTTAGTGATACAATATACTTTTCATATAAATATAAACCAAACACTTACAGCTTGTTGTAAAACAAATGTTCCTTTCTTGTTCATAATGACTTCTTCAACGGCTTTGATAGACGTTTCCAAAGCTTTTAAACCTTCTTCTTGATTCATTGTAGTTGTTCCTGACAACATAGAAGAACAAAACAGTTTTCAAACACACCCTGAAATTGTCAAAAGACAATTTACCGTTTTATGTTATTCAGGCCTTCAACAAGGTTATTTTTATTCAACTTTTACTATATCAGTGAAAGTGACGACGATTCCCTGCAGTGTGCGAATTAGTTCAGAAAAAACGATGTGCAATTTTTTTTGACAAAAGTGTTTCTTTAGAGGCATAATCAAATCGATATTACGTTAATTATTATATAGCGCTAATTGCTAAATTAATATTTTTAAACGTGAACAAATTCATATGATTTACGACAGTGTTTTTCGTTACAACAGCTGATCCAGCTGTATGAGAGAAATTTTTTGTGCATGTTATTCTCTCGTCTTTTTTGTGCAAACTTTACAGTGCAATAAATTCACCACTTGGCCATCATCCTAGCACTCAAACAAGTCAGCATTTGATGTTTCCATCCATTTTTACTGTATTAACTTTTCTGGTAGCTACAACCTTTTGACGAAGATGGCAAGAAAGACAAAAGTGAAAAGAGAATAACCGAATATACTTTTTTCTGATTATTAACAGTAACATCCTTGATGTTTACTTATGATAAAAACATATATTTATGTCATATTACAAGCAATATGTAAAAGCAAAAAGTATGGCTGATCAAGGTTGCCAGTTTGGCTTAATATTTTGAGCCATTAATGTTTTTCTGACGTTAGGCTTATTTAAAATCAAAATTCCCTTTCGTTTATTTTTCAAATTTTGCTTGTTTAAGTTTTTTTTTGTCTTCTTTTGAGAATCAAAATCAAAATGTGTCCTGATTTTACTGAAATTACTCAAAATAGCTTTGATGCCAAAAACAGTACGTAACGGTTTACAAAACAAAGCAAATGAAAAAATTGACATTAGTAATGTATTTACACGCCTATTGTCATAAGCATATAAGCACCATGTATGTTGACTGTTGACAGATTTACTAATCTCAAAGTGACAACGTCTTTGAATTTGATGACATTGTGTAAAAATGGATTTTAATGTCGTGCAGAGCACTCGTTTATTAAGTAAAGATCAGTAAAGATTAAGCTTGAAAACTTTTTTCAATTTATGTGGTGGCAATCAATAAAGAAGTTTTTTGCATATCGTTTGAAAAAGTGATGTGCAAATGTTTTCATTTTAGCTAAAACGATGTGCAAATTGCACATTGAACACCGTTAATTTGCACACTGATGATATCATTGATTTTAAATAAGCCTAACGTGAGAAAAGGAAGCCAAATTTGGCTCAAAACATTAAGCCAAACTGGCAACCTTGATCAGCCATACTTTTTGCTTTTGCATATTGCTTGTAATATGACATAAATATGATGTTTTTTATCATAAGTAAACATCAAGGATGTTACTGTTAACAATCAGAAAGCAAAAGTATATTCGGTTATTCTCTTTTCACTTTTATCATTCTTGCCATCTTCGTCAAAAGGTTGTAGCTACCAGCAAAGTTAATACAGTAAAAAATGGATGGAAACATCAAATGCTGACTAGTTTGAGTGCTAGGATGGCCAAGTGGTGAATTTATTGCGCTGTAAAGTTTGCACAAAAGAGGAGAGAATAACATGCAAAAAATTTCTTCGTACATTTGTAACTGGATCAGCGGTTGTAAAGAAAAACACTGTCGTAAATCATATGAATTTGTTAATGTTTAAAAACAATAATTTAGCAAATAGTGCTATATATAGTAATGAACGTAATATCGATTTGATTATGCCTCTAAACAAACACTTTTGTCAAAAAAAATTGAACATCGTTTTTTCTCAACTAATTCGCACACTGATTATCACAATGCAATATTAGCTTTAGAAAAAACTAATTTTTGTGGACAGTTAACATAAATTATTGCCAATGTCACAGGGTCTTAATATTATTGACTTCAATGCATTGGGATGGTGTCATTGTTATTTTCAAATAAACGACTAATGATTGAATATGTCCATCTTAATACAGCATGGGGTACTTAGGGAAATGGTAACAGGATGATATGAGGATAGTAGAGGTACCAGGGGGATGTCATTTTAGTGATACAATATACTTTTCATATAAATATAAACCAAACACTTACAGCTTGTCGTAAAACAAATGTTCCTTTCTTGTTCATAATGACTTCTTCAATGGCTTTGATAGATGTTTCCAAAGCTTTCAAACCTTCTTCTAGATTCATTTTTGTTGTCATGACAACATAGGTAGGTGGTGAAATGGGATTTATCTTAAAGAAGAAAACAGTTTACAATCAAACAGTGATATTTTCAAAGATTATTTATCATTTTATGGTATTTAGGCCTGGCACAGCTATTGTAAGATATAATTACATTGCTGTGCACATTGGGACTATTATAAATAATTAAATCTTGTTTTCGTGAACATCAAAATGTCCATCCTCATTGTGTTTATGTAGCAATATTGCAATTTGATGCATTTCAATGAGAATGATCTGTCATATACAGTGGTGTAAAACAAAGCTTCATGCTTTTCTTGGTTCTTAAGGTTCGTTTTTCTTGCCAGCTCATTTATTGACAGTTGTCTTGTTGTACACAATGTTCAGTAGTATATATAATAATCATTCTACAATTGAAATCTTGACATAAACATACTTAAAAGTTAAAATGACATGATGAATATGAGGTATAGCTCTATTGGTTAAGAATAGTTCATGTACGATGTCAGATGATGTTAATGTTGATTCATAATGGTTTCAAAAAAGCTTGGCTGACTGATAATTATGCTAATAAACACATAACCCTGGCTGTCACATGTTACAATCGTAAACAGTTTTAAAATTCAAAAGGAGTAAAGATCTTTTTATAAAATCTAACGATGATCAATGATTACAGTACAATAGAACTTACCTAAATGAAGTCATAATATAAAACGTCGCTCGATTTTGAAATAGAAATACAAACAATTCGTTATGTTGATGATGGCATAAAATATGTACAAAGATATAACGCAGATTGTTTAATCAGTTGCATTTTTCATTGAAAACTTCTCAAGAACCTCAAACGGTAATACTTTAAATACAGACGAACAAGTTTACAGTTTGAGTTTACATGACTGACTTTACCGACAGTCGGAAACATCCGGTGGAAACTATCGGTATTCGCCGATTATTATTCGATGTCTGTCGTGAAAATGGTTTGTGACGTATTCAGCGCGGTAACATTTTTCTGATGTGGAAGCGGGAAATTCGATTATATTTTTTATGTAAATAAGGCATAAGAGCGCAATAAAAGGCAATAAATATTTACTTTTTCACAAATAGAAAATACGACATCGAAAAGTACATTTGTTCTAAGTAGTTAATATTGCAATTATTATTATGTTCACGGCACACTTGTACAAATTATAGATATTTATAGTTCATCAGGAATTGAAGGAAGATTTAAATGATACACTTCAATAAGAAGTTTCCAATACAAAAGTACGAGTAAAAATATTAAACATTCAGTCTGACTTTCTGCTCCAGATTCCATCCCTTGATCCTCTGCAACACTCTCTGGAACGTTTTGTGAACGGGAATTATTTTTTTCGTCTTGATGTACTTTCTCCAAGCTCTAGAGATTTCTTCTATATCTTTATTCTCGTCCGTATTTGATTCAAGTAAACACTGGATTTTTTCACCGTTTTCGCTCTTTTCCTTACTTTGTATAAAATTGAATGTAAATACAGTTGACCAACTTTAACAACTTAAATCATTCATTCTACCACAACTACCTGACACAACAGTGCAATGCAACAACCACGATGACTGCCATTCCACAATGTTGAACAACAACAGAAAAGACGCAGCATGGTGTATTTAGAGAACTTTTTCATTTTTCTTTTAATGTAACAGTCACTTCATCCGATATGCTTCATCTGCAAGGGGAAGTCCCTTAACATACCCATCATGTGAATGTAAGACAATGTATCGTAACACCTGTGGACAGAGCGTATTAAGGGAAGAAACAATATAATTGTTTTAGAGGAAAATTACAAAAAACACTGTCACAAAAAATTCTTCAGTGTAGCCTGCCCTGGGTAAGCAGAAGTCCTACTTGACTAAATTGACTATGCAGTTTTCTATTGTCGCCTGTAGTGCCCGTTTCGTGTCGTGTTTGTCAAGAAATTATAAATATTGAACTTTGCTTTAGAAATTAGAATACACAAGCCATGAGCCACCAGCTCAATAAAACGTGTTTCCCAGGGAATATAATAACGAGATAATCATTGTCTCCAAAGAATACGTTCTTACAAGTTAGTGTGCTATAAATATGGTTGATATTCACTGACATGGAAAGCGAACTTCGTCGCTAAAATTTAACATAGTAAAATTTTCTATAGGCAAAAATATCTCATAAGACATTTTACGTACTTTAAAGATCAGCTACATAGCATTCAGCAACCCCTTTCTTTACTTAACACTTCACAGCTAAATTTCACAGTGAGCAGTGGACAAGAGCCTAAAATGCGAAATATTATGGCACGGAAGATTAAAATCATGATTTACAATCAAACGGCCAATTTTACGTCTTGCGGTCAATGTTATAAAAATTGGCCGTCATAATTAACTTGTTTAGAGATCAACTATTTAGGAATGAAACAATCTGATGACAGCAATAATCACTTAACAATGATCTCGTTATTAAAAGGTTAAAAGCTGTGAAATAAAACGATTTGAAATGGATATGTTAATCTGAAACATAGCCTACAGAACAATGACTTTGAAATTCAAAAATTTCAATAAACCTTCCACTCACTGTCTCAAAGAGATGAGAAATTGAGTGTGTGATGAGTAGAGTGTGGAAGGCTTATTGTAATTTTTATATTTCAAGATCATTGTTGTAAAGGTTGTGTTTCAGATTAACTTATCCATTTAAAATCTCGGAACAATTATAGAAGACCCGTCCCTTTTTAAAGGCACCCTTACGGCTTAAGTTAAACTAAAATATCGTTTAGTTCTCAATTATTATTTATCAAGTATCATTTAGTGTCATTTAATGGTCAAAATAAAGAACTAAGTATAAAGAACGAGGCATATTATATAAGTAGATAGTGATTGGACGGGTATTCTATAACATAGCATTACGATCTTGTGGTGTTTATCACTAAACTAAAATATCGTTTAGTTCTCAATTATTATTTATCAAGTATCATTTAGTGTCATTTAATGGTCAAAATAAAGAACAAAGTATAAAGAACAAGGCACATTATATAAGTAGATAGTGAATGGACGGGTATTCTATAACATAGCATTACGATCTTGTGGTGTTTATCACTAAACTAAAATATCGTTTAGTTCTCAATTATTATTTATCAAGTATCATTTAGTGTCATTTAATGGTCAAAATAAAGAACAAAGTATAAAGAACAAGGCATATTATATAAGTAGATAGTGATTGGACGGGTATTCTATAACATAGCATTACGATCTTGTGGTGTTTATCACTAAACTAAAATATCGTTTAGTTCTCAATTATTATTTATCAAGTATCATTTAGTGTCATTTAATGGTCAAAATAAAGAACAAAGTATAAAGAACAAGGCATATTATTTAAGTAGATAGTGAGTGGACGGACGGGTATTCTATAACATAGCATTACGATCTTGTGGTGTTTATCACTAAACTAAAATATCGTTTATTTCTCAATTATTATTTATCCAGTATCATTTAGTGTCATTTAATGGTGAAAATAAAGAACAAAGTATAAAGAACAAGGTATATTATATAAGTAGATAGTGAGTGGACGGGTATTCTATAACATAGCATTACGATCTTGTGGTGTTTATCACTTTGGTAGTTGTGGTTCGTATGGCATAGTAAAAAAAGTGTCAAATATGAATATAATAATGTATAAAAAGTCATAGCCACCTCTAGTACTTAAGGCAAGTTTGTCACAAATAGAAGATTAAGAATCAAGTGAATATTGCGATAACGCGATTACCGTATGCGCTCGAAAATCTCGTACACTTGCACAGTTTTGCAAACGTAGCATTTACGTTATAATAAATAAAGTTGCCTTCAAAAAAAATTAAAAGCATTGTCGTTAACTGATAGAAATATAACTTATACGTATTTGAAAATTTTCGCAGTTAAAGCAAAAGCAGGGCGCAAACTCAGTAAATTTATCAATATTTTGCACAAACCAATTACGTCAAGCACAGAATGTATTGGTTCAACTTTTTCTTCGTTTGGTTCTTGTTCTTTCACGTTAACATTTCCAGGTTAAATGCAAATAAACAAATTACTCCCAAACATTGTAGTCATAAGACAATACAGCAATGTTCTTCTTCACAATTTTCCGCTCTGTTTTGACTCCAATTCAGCGACTGCCAAAAGCAAGCTGGATACAATCGAAGGAAGAACCAAAAGTCTGAAAGCTTTCACCCAAATCTCACTAAGAAACGAAACGTACATTGCATATTCCTTCGGTGTTGGATCTATGGACGACTGAACATTGCCATGTAATAAAGAACCAAGTAAAAATCCACAAAGTACGCCGAATAAAATGAAAAATAATATCATATGTTGCTTTGCGTGTTTTAATCCATTGTTGCAAAGCTTTCTTGAAGTCATTGTCGAAATTTTGTAGCTCTGAATACAATTCAAAGCAACAAATAAACACTGAATCTCATCTTCACAATTCACAATAACAAAGACTATAAATTTACCGCGCTATTGACTATATATAAATATTCAATACATATTAGAGACTTAGGTCACGTGTTTTTCTTCCCAGATTTTAACAGCCAAGGGGGAAATCCCTTTTAAACGCTTTCATTTGAAATAAGTGGAGAGAAGGCTAAACTGGTCTAAACTAATTCACAAAACAAAAGCTATTCGTCGTCATCACAATAATTGGAAACTTGTGATAGGAAAAAATAAAATAGAAATCACTATAAGAGCCCTTACAAAGAGTATTTCAAAACATTCTGTTTTTTATCGAATCTACAACTGGCAGTAAATAATAAAAAATTTGTAAACTTGGCAATGGAAAAATACATAATTGGTGGTGAGGATGGTTTGCTAAAATTAAAAAATTTCACTCAGTCGATTTCATCGTGAAGACAATGTCTCACGACGCAAACTAGCATCATAAATAATTTCTTTGGAAACAATTATGTAGGAATGCACGAGTTTATATCAGTGGTTTATGCATTATAACGCATGAAATGACAGCACTAAAAAATTATCATTCAATAAAGATTAATAATTACATTAATAAAAATAAATATTATTAAGAAAGAGATTTAGAAAAACATACAAATTATTTTAAATTGTTCATTAGTACATAAGATTAAAGTATGCCTTTCTTCCATTATTGAATGGTTAAAACAAAATATTTTCTTGAGTTCTTACGTTTTACACAAACCTATTTATCATAAAAAATGTACATGATTTATTTCTCTCAGTATAAATCATTTTACGTTGAAGTTGACAAATCTTTAAAGTTTTTCTAAAGTTGATGGAACATTTAAAACCAAATCTTCGTTCAGCATTTCCATCGCACATCCATCTCCTCTTGTCAAGTCTTGCAGGTGAAACAAAAATTGTTCAGGAAGCGTTTCTTGAATGGGTAAATTTAGAATTGGTTGAGTATTTCCACCATCTTCCATGCTTTCATTTTGTAATGCATTGTCGTATCTTTCGTTGCCATCTTCTAACCCATTGTAATGATTTTCTTTACCGTTGTTTTCTTTTTTAGCACAGGTATTTTCACCGTCGTTGTTCATCTTTTTGTAAATGACGATCTAAAGATAATTAGGGAAGAGAGGAGAGATAATAGGAAAAGAGGCATAATCTGGACTATTCTACAAAATAGCCAACTTATTACGAATTTCAAATTTCACCACTCTCAGACGGTGAAACTATACAATTCTAGAAAAATTATCAATGGTATTGTTCTGAAATTTGCGAAGTATATCTTTGCGTCTGGAATCAGTGGCGAATCCAGTTTCCCTCAAAATAAATTATAGCTCCTCAATATTAAATTCAAATTACTTTCAGAAAAGCACCATTGTTTTTTAATTTCTAAAGAATATAATTTTGCCAATGGCTTGACTCTGAGATGTTTAGAAATGTAAATATACGCCAAAATATGCTGCAGTAATTTATTTTGACGTACTCTGGATCCTCCACTGTAGAAAAAATTGAAAATCATAAGCAATTATTTTATTTCACGCAGTATAATAATAAATTAAAATTGCGAATATTTTTTTCCAAAAGCGAAAAAAACAGACAAATAAACAACGCGGGCTTTGCTCTAATTGCGGGGTTTCCTCGGAGTTACAACAATTATCATGTTTATGATTTTGCTAAAATATACTGCAGGATATTTTTGATATCAAAAAATTAGTTTAAAATGATCGGAAAAACGATCCAGCAGGAAAAATGCCCAAATGGATGAAACTTGTTTAATACTATCATTTGACGAAGCGTTGTTGAAATGGTGCGATCAAATGTTGAAATGTATGGTTCGAATCGTAAGTATAGCAAATTATTTTATTACCAAGTGTAAAATAAAATAGATATAAGTCATATCTACCTTTTCTTTTAAAGCCAAGTTAACCACGTAAAGAAATATACAAGAAATACACGCTTTTACTTTTCCACTATGGTTCTTTGCAGACACGTCTGTCACTGTTTCACTGTTTCACGGTTTCACTGTTTCACGGTTTTCAGGCTGACACTGTTTATATGACACTTCTCTGGAGGGTTTTTTGGAGGTTTTCCACCAATAAGATTAAAGATATTACATCATATTTATCCATGCATAGCATGGCGAACACACGGCAATTTCAAATTACCAAGTGATGAAGACGCCCACAGCACAGAATCAGTGTTTCAACCGCATGGTGGACTAGAGTACATTTAATGTGTTATTACAAGTAGACAATAAATAAGTAAAAGCCCTCAAGAGAGTTGGAATTATTCAATACGTAAAATATTGTTTCGTCGTCGAATTTGATGACCGTATAAGGAAAATAGCCTTATATAGATTGTTCATTATGTTTGTATCAATTATACATAAATAAATATGTGCATTGTATTGGTATGCATATATATATGTAGGCTGTAAGGAGCGTGATAATTTGCAACAGGGTGAACAAAGAGTTGGAAGAGCTAAATATTGTGATCTTTGTAAATATCACACTATTTAATTTCTATTGCTTACTTCCGTTTACTTATTTCATGCGTTGTAAATATATATGTGTATGTATGGTTTTAAATATCATTCTGTCTGAGGATGACTTTGAAATAAAGTCGAAAATTTACAGTTTACTTCTCGTCTTGTTTTGATGCATATTTTGCAATCTCAAGATGTCTTACTTCTTCGGAATTTGTTTTATAGTATACTTCTTTAAATTGATGTGCAACGACATCGCAAGGAGGAAGCAAAGAAGAGGGATCACAGTTGACGGAGAGAAAATGGAGGAGGTGGAGGAGTACAAATACCTTGGAAAAATGTTAACACCAAGAAATGAAATCAGTGTTGAGGTCAATCAAAGAATCAATGTCGGATGGAGAAGATTCGGGCAATACAGTCACTTTCTAAAGGAGAAGAACATCCCAAACAGTTTGAACAGGAAAATAATGGACACTGTCATTTTACCATCTATGACATACGGAGCAGAAACATGGGCGCTTACAAAACACCAATCAAGGAAGCTGGCAGTCACACAAA